GCATATTATAGATTTGGTCCACAATTATATTTGGTCCATTAAAAGCATGCTTAGTACATGGGCCTAGCCATGCCTTAAGATATTTAGTGACGACCTTTTAATCGGATTGTCACAAAAGACTATGATGAAAAAACATGTAATCGTCATAAAACAAGATTTACCACGCATGATCTGTGACGGATGGTATTTTGTCATGTGGTCGTCATAAATACAATTGCTATGACAAAAATACCAGAATTTATGATGATAACAAGTTGTCATAGATCCTAAGATTTCTTGTAGTGAACCCAATTATGAATTACTAAAGTACCCTTAGGTATCTCCAAGAGTATTCAGATTGGAAAAACCCCTCTCCAACAATTCCCAATCCATCGTCCTAACCTTTTGGCACTTGGGAAAACTCACCCTATTACGCGTAAAGTTCCGCGATTCCTGAGTCACGCGTAATCCACTCTGTCGTGTAGTTTTCTCTTCCCGGGACAAAAGTTTCCCGCGGTCTCCGCCTTCACACCGAGGAGTCGCGTGTTTTTCTCCTTCCCGTGCCATTCCCTTGCCGCGGTCTCCGTCATCGCGCCAAAGGTCTTCGTCGATGGGACACGATCTTCGCCGCCGCCGACAAAGGACGAGGTGAACTCCATCGATCTTCACCGTGGTCTCTGTCGTAGGGCTTAATCGATGCCGCCGCCGCTAGGATTGGCCGCGTGCTGTCTCTCTGTGCCACGCCCTGGCCGCCTGCTGCCTCTCTGTGGCAGGCCGTGGCCACCTGTGGTCGGACGCGCCTGGCCATGGCCGGCCATGGCTGTGTGCTGGGCGCCTGTGGCCTGCCCAGGCTTGCCTGCTGATGGCCGGCAGCTGCTACTGGCCTGCTGATGGCTGTACGATGGTTTTGACGTTGTAAACGTGATGTTCTTATTCATGGCAATTGGTGTTTATTTATTTGTTCATAGGCTGGTCGCAATGTCCGGTGGAGGATATTGGACAGACATGGTCACGGGAGTGAATGACCTTGTTGGTTTGGACGACTTCATCATCCCAATGACACAGGAAACACAGGAAAATGATGGCGTCCAGGCACGTGCAGGTGTTGAAGCAGTAGAAATGCAGGGTGATGAAGTAGTTGAACCGCAGGCACGTGCAGGTGCTGGACGCCCACGCGGTACAAGGCCAAATTCGAAAAGGTAAAAAATTTCACTCTAAAGGAGAATGAAATTGTTGTCTCAGCTTGGTTGAATATTAGCAAAGACCCCGTGCGAGGTGCTAATCAATCTTATGCCTCCTGCGTATATGAGGCCAACAGGCACCCATATCCAAGCCGAACAGACAGTTCAATTATACGAAGGAACTTAATGCAAGAACATTGGCTACACTCTTTTTTTGGACAAAGTAGTCATTGTGGAATTCTACAGCTTTCATTATGCGAAGGAAAAGATCCAAACTCATCCTATATCTAAAATAAGAAAATAAAATAAATCATATAACATTTACCTAGCATACTATGTACATATCACAAGTGAATGCACACGAACCGACGAAATAAATTTGGGCCGGATGTCGGATCATCAGCGAAGTAATCTTGAAACATCCTTTGATGCCCGCCTTCTCTATCTTGGTAAATAACTATATGGCCTGGGACGAACCACCATGCCTTTTTTTTATTCGAATATGTTTGTACAATTTGATCTGCTGAGAAGATCAAATAGTCATCGTCGTCTGATGATGAATCATCCAATTCTCTTTGCAGTAGTGATTTGTGAGCACTCATGACGTCTAGTGTTCTTGAGAGGCACCCTACAGGCCATGACTGCCGCGGCCGGCTAGGAGGTGGGCGCGGCCGGCTGGGATGAGGAGGCGGCCGGTTGGGAGGTGCGGCAGCCGGCTGGGAAGTCGCAGCGGCAGGTAAGGAGGCGGCGGCGTCGAAGGTTTGGCACGACCCTGCGATGTTGTGCGAAAAAAAAGAATGCGGCAAAAAAAATCCTTGTGGGGCTAATATTTGAGTTATTGGAAGTGATTTATATAATACTCTTGGAGATGGACTTTTTTTTCTCCCAATACCTTTTCTAGAGTTGGAAACCAACATGTTTTTGGGAACAAAACATAGGATACTCTTGGAGATGCTCTTAAGTATAAGAGAGTATAATTAATTACTTTTATATAACACATGGAATATCAATAAAATGTGGGATGCGCCTTGATTTTTTTTGGGATTCTTAAATTAGTTTATTAGCAAATAAATATATTCCAAGGTCCATGTTTAATGCTTGGAGTATTGTGAGAAACTAACAGGAAGGGCTGATGACTTAGACAATCTTCAAGAGTTTCCAAAACACCCTTCCAATCCTTTGATTTTTGGCAAGATTGAAAAACACATCTCCAACAACTCACAATACCACCTCCTAATCTTATGGCACTTGGCCGGAAAAAAGTGACCCAACATACGGTTAAATGCGTGCAGGCTCCCACCTCCCAATCGCATGTATCCCGCTTTGCTGGCCGCACGCGCGCCCATCAGTTCTCGCTGCCGCCTCTGCTCGCACAGCGAGCCGCCACCGCCGCCCTATCGCCTCACCAGCGCTGCGCCACCGCCCACCACCCTCACCTGAAGTCACCGTCGTCGCCCCTTGCGTTTACGCGTGTGGCACTAAGCCCGGCCCTGGTCGCGGGCTCATGAGCGCGCCAGCACAGGTGCAGCACAACGCCGTCGCCGGTAAACCGGCCGGAGCCACCGCCCCATCCCCGGCCAGAGCCACGCGCGCGAACCCGAACAAACCCCTACGCAGCAGCCCTACGTCCATGGCTGCCAATGTTCAGACTCCAGAGGAAGAAGAAGGACCTGTTTGCACAGTTTCTCCAATTTTTATATTTTAGGAGTTCATTTTTGGGAACCGTTGGGGAGACTCTTTTTTCCTACTCTCAATTATTTTTGGCGACTTGAAAAACTCAAGGATTCTGCGAAGAATTTTTTGGGTACTCTAACATAAAATGTGCAATTCTTGTGCACGTGTTGCTTATTGCATGATTGAAATCAAGAGACAAGTAGGAGTGCCGCGTGCATGCTTCCCTGGGACATGTGACATGACTATATATAACAGAACCGCACAGATGAATTTCCCATTTGCAGAAAATTAAAATTTGTTTGAATTCCCATCAACACTTGATTTACTCTATTCTAGTTTTCTATATCTATGGTAAAAACTAAACAGCAGGTACCTTGTTTATTATTAGGGACTTACTAGCACCCGGACGTCCTGAGCAGATGAGCGCGTCCGGACGCCCCGCGCATGCGCTGCTGCCTCAGCCCACTCGCCCGCGCCTGCCGCTGCACCGTATCGCTGCTGCACGCGCACACCCGTCCCCTATCTGTCTCGCCCCGTCCCGCAAGCGTACCCCGCTCCTGTCTGCCTCGCCCTGCCCCGCACGGGCACCCCGGCTACGCCCACCACTCCTTCCCCCTGACCCCTTCCTCTCTCCGCGCTGGCAGGACCCAGGAGCCCGGATCAGGATGAGCATGCCCCGTCCGCAGGACCCTAGGCACACCGTGCGCCCCATATGCCAGCCCCCGGCTCGCTGTGCCCCTTCCCCCAGCACTTGGGCCATGCCCCATGACTCTCTGAACATACCTCTGAAACATGAAACACTTGCAACATGAAACACTTAAGTGCAACATAAGTATGAAGCAGATGAAACATTTGAAACATACACATGAAACATATGTGTGAAACATATGCAACATCCAGATAAAACACTTGCAACATGAAAACACTTACTGCACAATAAGATTAAGACACCTAAAATATTTGAAACATACTCTTGCAACATATATGTGAAACATATGCAACATTCATATCAAAATGCTTGCAGCATATGTCTGAAACAGATGAAACACTTTGAACAAACGCTCGCAATATGCCTCTGAAACACTTGCAACATATGCAACATCCTGACCTACTTTTGCAACATGCCTCTGAAATACTTGCAACATATGCAACATCCTAATCTACTTTTGCAACATCCATATAAAACACTTGCAACATACCTCTGAAACATATGAAATACTTAAAACATACGTTTGCAACATGTGCTATCAGCGCAACATCTCCTTACCACTTGGGAATGGAGTCTCGTCGGCGCGTGGAGTTCATCGGTATAGAGCTCGCTGCTTTGGTGGAGTAGGCCGCGCCGGGTCCGTGAGCTGGAGAAGCCCGCAACGGGCGGGAGACGCGGTGGAGAGGGAGGAAGACGAGCTGTCGTGGTCTGGCACGGAGGAGATGCCGGCCGGCGGAGCGAAGGCACAATGGAGAGAGAGGTGCGGAGGAGATGTCGGCCGGCGGGGTGGAGGCGCAATGGAGAGGGAGGCGCGATGGAGAGGGAAGCACGATGGAGAGCGCTATCGCCGAGGCGACGCGGCAGACCGTGGTCGCGGAGAGCTATCGCAGCACTACGGTGATGTGAGTTTTTTTTTCTTTTAGAACGGTTGGGGGCTAGTGGATAAGCAGATAAGATGCGATTGTTGGGCTGCATCGTGGCCCACCATTGGTGTCGTCCGGAGAGACGGACGACCTATAGCCACCATTACCGTTATTATTTTAGAAACCTATATTATTCATTAAGGGCCCATTTGATCCTTGAAATTAAATTCATTTTTATTATTAATAATAATTTAGACACGGATTAATCAAGCTAATATGGTTGTATATGAAATATATTTGTATATTACTGCGGGCCATATGAGAGAGGTACTTATGTGTTAAATTTCTACATAAGGGGAGTGAGTTGAAAAGTATGTTATAAGTTGCAAAGTAAAAACATAGTATGGTGATCTACAGAATCAATTTCCATCTCTCAGCTTACGAATTCGAGATAGGCTTATATATGAACTTTGAAAAGTTGTAGAATGTGAAATTTCAAGCCAAATAACATAGTCCATTAAGTAGATTCTAATTTAAAAAATGAAAGGAGCCTCTAACAGTAATTAAAGCTGTAGCGTCCAGGGCTCAAACTAGCTAGGAGCAGGAGATTGTGGATGACACGGGCCGCAAGCTGATCTGGGATCTCGAAGAGTAGGAGAACTTGACGGCATAGCTGACACCCATGGCGATGGGGCTGCCGCTTTTGAGAGTACAGCGCTGGCCGTCGCCGTCCACGCTGAGCACGCCCGGCTTGACACCCATGGAGGAGCTGAATCCGCGGCAGGACAGCTTGACGTTTACCTGAGTGCAGATGCACCGGTTCTCCACAGCCACCGTGTAATTAGCGTATCCTGCTTTGTCCCTCGACGGCACTGCGGTCTGAGTGACGGCGAGGTCTGTCAGCTTGCAGTTCTGTGCATTTCCTGCTCACGCAAATAAATGGGACGATGATAGTGAGGGTTCATGGGACAGAGCGAGTAGTGGTACTAATAGGCTAATAGCAGAGAGAAATTCATGTATGGAAGACCATCTACCTGGATTGCAAAGGCAGAACAGTAGCAGGAATGCGAACATTTTTTGCATCAAATTACCCTCCATTTGTCCTAGCGATAAGCCCAGTCTTCTCAGCAGAACTTGGCTTATCTTGCGTAGTTTGTCATCATCTTGGTCAGGTCCAAATTTATAGACTGCTCATCAATGCGAGGATATCGATTTTGATTTTCAAAATATAAGTGAAGATATCTATGTGGAGGCATGGATTAATTACGCAATTATATGTCACCAAATTTATTACAAATTTGTGGCATTCTCATTCAACAAGGGAGAATGCATGAAGATACCTTCCAATTTGTTTGAATTTGTTTCCTGATTTAAGTATCCTCTCGCCAGGATATACACAGTTCTGTAAATTTAGTGTACTAATTAAAGGGGAATGATTTATGGAGTAGTTCTAAGAGCAATTATATTCTCCCAGCCCTCTCAAATTACTTCCCTATGTGCAATCGGAGAAAGCCTCCCTTATCTCTACGATAACGATATGTTACGGGCGTCCGTCGGCTCATCCTCATCCACTTATCCGCGTACCTCGCCCACTCCCACGAGACGGACTCCGCCCGCTCTACGTCTGCTCGCCGGTACAGCCCTTGCCCGCGCCGTCTCGGCTCGCAGCTCGCATGACGAACTCCACCGGCGCTGCCCCGCCCGTGCCGCGTGCCTCCATCCGCCAGCCGCGGCCACTACCGAGGTCCATGCCACTGACGAGCCCCACACCGGCGACCTCCGCGTACTCTGTGGCATCGAGCTCCGCGCCGGCGTCGAGCTCCACAACGACAAGCTCCATTCGTCCAAGCAGCAAGGTGACATTGCGCTGAAAGCGCATGTTGCAAGCGTATGTTTTAAGTGTTTCAAATATTTCAGTGGTATGTTGCAAGGATTTCATATAGATATTGCAAAAGTAGATCGAGATGTTATATATGTTGCAATAGTTGTACACTTATGTTGGAAAGGTCTGTTCCCAATGTTTCATCTATTTTTCAGACGTATGTTGCAAGTGTGTTTATCTGGATGTTGCATATATTTCACATATATGTTGCAAGTGTTTTATCTAGATGTTGTGTATGTGTTGCAATGGTTTTTAAAGTGTTTCATGTGTTTTTTTGTAAGTGTTTCAGACGCATGTTTCAAACATTTCATATGTCTCAAGACGTATGTTGCAAGTGTTGCATCTGGATGTTTCAAAAGTAGATCGGATGTTGCTTCTCCATCCTCGCCTTCTGCTGCCTCGCCTTAGTGTTTCCTCACCTTCTGCTGCCATACATCCTTCTCAAACTGGGGAGGGGGCGTGCCGGTGGCCGGTGGAGGCGGTGCGTCTAGGGATGGCGGTGCGGACGCGAGCGCACGCTCTCCCCTTCAGTTACGCAGGCAGGTAGCGCTTCGGTTCGCCTTTTTTGTTATGCCCGTATGCTTAGATGGGATGCTCCCGTTGGTGGGCTAGGACTGGGAGCTACGTCCGGACGCACTGCCGGTGCCGGACGTCCGAGCGCTAGTGCCTCCGTTATCTCTAAGTCCAAATAGGGTGATATCTAGCCCAAACTCCTAAGCAGTGGAAGAGAGCGAAAATTGGACTGGGCATACGGTTGGTGGCAAGCTAAATGGGCTTGAGCCTACTGTAGAGGCAGGTCTCTTGTGAGATCCATCTCTGTAAATGGTTCTTATTTTCAGAGGTGAATCTATTTCTTATAAAAACAACTATGTATTTTTAAGGCAGAAACACCTTTTGACTAACCTGGTAAATCAATATGGTTTTCTCTTAAAATTATTTTGCAGTCAATTGCTCTTCCCTCATAGTAAATGTAAATCGAAGGGAGATTAGTGTGCTTCCCATGATTTGAAGGTTAATTGCTATTTTACACTTATTTATCATTTTGCCCACGATGAGGACGAATAAAATTAAAAAAGATTAAAAATAATTAAATGATGTTACTAACCCTAACATTATCATAACCCTTCATGCTTCCGCCGATTGTTGATTAAGCACGTGCAACTTGTTAAAGTTTTGATATGTGCAAATTTTACTACAAAAATCCTTTCAACAATGTTGTCGAAATATTTGATGTCAAAATAGAGGTTGAAATCACATAGTCCTGAAAAATTAGAGGCAAATTGACATGCATAAACTAGTATTTTTTTAGCTGACACCGAGAACTTCTCTAAACGGGGCAGCGGTAAACTCTGACTTCATTTGAAGTGCAAAACGTGGGTGCGTGTGGGTTTTTTGCATTTTTTCTTCATTAATCAACCGCCAGATGATCATAGTTTTGTGGTACAGAAGATCTTTTTAGTGCTAACCAAGGTAGACGAATGCATGCTAAGCCATCTGAAGAACCGAGTTTTCTTGCTGGACTATGCGTTACATGTACATCAAAACAAAATTGTTGGACAAAAATTAAACTGCTCTCTCGTAGGTATTATTATTACTATGTAAAAGTGCTCAGTAGATGATGCCATAAGAGGAGGTTGCGGCAATGGATTCTGATCCTATGTACGTATCTGCTCTTTTCAAAATTTCCATTATTGCTGACACAATTCATCTTCTATGTTCCATATTAACTTCTCCCTTGATGGAGAGGTATCTAAATACTACAAGGAGGTTTCTGCATGCATAGCCTCAATTTTGGGTAATTCAATACGCGATTTGATTGCTTACTAATTCCCTGCAGCTCCGAGATCTTCGTGTATTCTGAAACCACGTTGCCAGCTGGTGTATAAATAGGTGGCTAAGATAGATTCCCCACAGAAACCACAGAAGAGAAAGAGCACAAATGGAGACCTCGCTGATGATGAAGAACATCGCGTTCTTGCTGTTGCTGTTCAGCCTTTGCAACCCAGGTACATCGTCTTCTTCCCCAAACAGCGTTTTCTCTCTCTCTCTCTCTCTCTCTCTCTCTCTCTCTCTCCCTCTCTCTCTCTCTATGCCATGATGATTCATGAACTCCATTTTTTTTTGAGCGATCGAGCAGGGAACGCAGGTTACTGCAGCATTTCAGACCTGGCCGTGACGCAGACCGCGGTGCCATCAAAGGCCAACGTCTACGCGGTGACGGTGGAGAACCGGTGCATCTGCACGCAGGCGAACGTCAAGCTGGCGTGCAGTGGGTTCAGCTCCTCCGTGGCGATCGACCCGGCGGGCGTGCTCAGCGTGGATGGCGACGGCAAGCTCTGCACCCTCAACGGCGGGCGCCCCATAGGCATGGGCCCCGAGTACGCCGTCAAGTTCTCCTACGCCTCGCCGTCCGGCCAGTTCGGCTTCAAGCCCGTGTCGTCTTCCATTGCCTGCTCCTGATAAACTGATCGAGCTGGACTTTAGCAGTTAGCACTGCCATCGTCCTCACCTTCTTTTTCTTCACGGTGAATAATTGACGGTGAATAATTCATCGGGAGTGACATTTTTGTTTGATTTCTGTCATAGATAGTAGTAGTCCTAAAGTGTTTGACTAGTTATGCATGTATGGAAAAAATCTTGTTGCAACTGAAAGATCGTCCGTGCGGTTCTGCACGATCTTTCAGCTGTCCTAGTTATCCGGTTCATTGCAAGTGAATACATTTGTTTGCATCTTTTTTTAATATAAAACAGTGCATACACAGTCACTTAGAGGCCTATAAACATGCACGCACACTGACCTAAGGATGCAAACTCAGGCAGAACAACGTGCTGATAACGTGTTAGTTAGAGTTAGAGAGCGAGAGACAAGCAAGTGATGCAAATGATGTCTGTGTATTCCATTGAGCAGTGTCATATATATATACACGGGCGCACATAGGCAGTTACAAGTCCGAAAAAGAGAGGGGGTGAAAAGACACCCTTTGGATTAATCCTTAATTGATTATTAAATATTAATTCTCAACAAGGATGTCTAGAAATCCAAAAAAAATGACATTCCTTTTGTTTTAGAATCAATATATATGTATTCGTATCTGGTTTCAACAATGATGCTAAATGGATATATTCAATTCTTTTTTTTATACTTCTCTATCCGATTTCAGATATATTCTAAAAAATGAGAAATATTCGACAATAGTATCTGTGAAAAATAAAGTACCATCTCTTTTTTTAGAATGAAATAAAGTACCATCCAAAACGTATGACTAATTAGCAATGTAAATGATAATTATTTTAAAACAACAGACGAGACACGTATCATTCAAGTTATTTAAAAGTTATCCCTATGCCTAATATATATGTGGTTGATAATAAATGTTAATTTTAAAAACTTCCTTTTTTATTGTAACTGAAAACTGTTGAACCTTTATTTATGATAATTTTAATGTTATAATTAAGGACATATAAAAAAGTTTGTTACTTCAAGTACGTAGTTTATTTATATATTTACAATTTTTATATCTTTAAATTTATCAAAATTTTAATGTTATAATTACGGACATATAAAGCTTAAGTTTGTAACTTCACTACATAGTTTATTTATATATTTACAATTTTTTATATCTTTAAATTTATGTATTGATAAATATTTATATGAATTGAAATATTTATCTACATTTTTATTGATTTTCTATATATTTGATTATTGAAATAGTTATTAATATATATATGTTATTTTGGGAGATGTCTTTGTCTACAGGTGTTGTGTAGTCAAATTCAAACCTCTACATGTGTATTGATTTAATTTCACTTTAAAAACTATCCATAGGCAAATCTGCATGTTATTAGAAGTTGAAATGCATAAAGAGAATGTGTGTTCAGTTAATTACACAGTATAAGCGAGTTTGGCCCACCTAACTAGCTACTTGGCCTTGTCACGCGCATGAGCAACTCCAAGAGTCCACCTTTTACATATGGATAGAAACATTTGCCATTTGCCATATTCAGTAGTGAGTTTCGCAAATTTACAATTCATTCGTTGTCTTAACAAAATTGTCATACAATACATCCACTCTTTGTTTTAATTTCTACGCCAATTGCCAATCCACGTTAGAACATTTTCTCCCACACATAAATTTCAACTCCCAACTTTTTTTTTCTAAACCTACTTGGCTCATGTTTGTGTATGGTTCACGTCTTCATTCGAACGGCCCATGGTTGACTTCTACACCATGACTAGTTAGTTGATCGGCACGAGTCCGAGAAACAGGTTCTCTCTGATTAATTAAGATGTAAACATCATAGCACTGCCTCCGTAAATGGTCGGATGGTCTCCAAGCAAATATTCATCTCTAAAACCCATTTGCAATTTACACTTGTAGTAGAAATATATTTTATTTGAAATTGTTTAGGGTCCTAATTAAATATATGTTTTAAGCTCTTAGTTTTGAAACATAAAATTTAATCTCCAAACCTCCTTGAATATTTACATGGTTAAAACTAATGTAGGGGGGCTGACCCAATCTACAAGTTTGTGGTTGATAAGTTTTATTTGAAGTTGTTTATAGTCTCAAATATTTATTTTAAATTCACCTATTTTGAGGTTTAAATTTATGAAATTTTCAACAAAAAAAAATCTCGGATGAAGACACATCCTATACCAAAATTGTGATGCTTGAGAAGGTTTAAAACTTTATAGTTAAAATATAAGGTGAGTGTGTAATCCAGTGCTAAAAAAAATTACTCTCTAGATTATTAGAGATAAATAGGTGCTTTCTGTACTGCTGAATTGCAACAAATGAGTGCCTAATATTCGAGATGACATTGGGCAGCATTAACCTGCTGCCAAATGCATAAGATTACGTACCTCACGACAGTTTATAAATAGCAGATGAAACGACGATCAGTTTGCACAAACACAGAGAATTAGGAGTCCGCAGCTTGTGAACAAAAAAAGAAAAATACAGCGGGGTAATATTAGAACTATCGAGGGAGAGAAATCCGAAATGGTGGCCACGCTGAAGACGCTCGCGTTCTTGTTGCTGTGCTTCCTCTACAATGAAGGTTTGCCTTCCAACTTTCCAAGCCACCTGCAGAATTGCAGACCTGCAAGATCCATGTTTTGAATCTGCAATAAGTCTTAACAGATATTGGATCGTCTCCCCCCCAACTCATTTGATCCATGTGAGCAGCTGCAGGAAGTTCTTATGAGCAATGCAAGGTCTCTGATCTAGCTGTCAACCAGACCGCCATTGCGCACCGCGACAGCGGGTACACAGAGTACGCGGTGAGAGTGGAGAACAGGTGCATCTGCTCGCAGGGCTACGTGAAGCTGGCGTGCCAGGGGTTCAACTCCTCGGTGCGCATCTACCCAGCTGGAATCCTCCGGCCTGACGGGGAGGGAAATTGCACCCTCAACGGCGGATACTCCATCAGCCAAGGCCCTGAATACGCCGTGAAGTTCTACTATGGGTGGCATTCGCAGTTCAGCCTTGCGCCCGTGTCGTCTATCATCGCCTGCTCATAAGCATTTGTACCATTGTTTCATGGATAGATGTTTATTGTGCACGCCATAAACCTATGTTGTTTCTCTGACTCAAATGTAATGCTACCAAATAAACAGGTCATTTTGTTTTCAAAAGCTAACCCATACCCCCATAGGACGACGTTAATGCGCGACGGGTCACACGTTGTGGGAACATGTGACCCGTCTTCACTCTCGCGTCCGCCTCCTCCCCCGCCCCTTTCTCCCTCCCCGTGCCACTCCTCCTTTGGTCCCTCATCCCTCGCCATCGAGCACCCCATGCTTGTCCTCAAGCCCTCCTCGTCGTCCTCGCCCCCGCCGCCGCCCAAAGCCCCGCTCCGGCGAACCCTAGTGTGCCCGCGGCAGCCGCCTTCTTCCCCTCCCCCTTCCGCCTTGGCCATGGCGCCCCTGCCCTGGCCTGGTCCGATTGCCTCTGTCGCCCCTAAGCCGCCCAGCCACCGTCTCCACCGCCTGGCCAGCCTGCTTCCCCCAAAGCTTCCTTCTAAGCCCGCCGAAGATAGAGAAGAAAGAGAGGGCGCTGAACTCTAACGCCAGCGAGCTCGCCGAAACCCTAGGCGCCTTCTTCCCCAACTCCGGCGTGGGCATATGGGTGTGGGTGAGCGCGGGCGTGTGGGAGGGAGAGGGAGAGATGGGCTAGCCCACATCGTGCCGTCCGCACTCCACGTGACGGGTCGCTTGATAGACTTTCCCATAAGGTCATGTGGCTTGCAGATCGCACAGTTCACCTTTAATTTAAAATTCTTTTTGTTTGAAAACAAAACAATCTAGACGGACCATTTCATCTGTCCCGCGTCGCTCGCCTTGGGGACGACACGACGGAACCCATGCCACTACTACCACTCTCACCGCCAATGCCAGGTAGGGTGGGTCCACTCATAGCCTACATGGCTATAGGCATTAGGTCCCATTTGGTAGGACTCCAACTCTAGCTCCTTGCAGCTCCTTGTAAGAAGCCCTGTCAAATAGACATTTAAAAAAAGCTCCCTAGGAATATGGAGGAGCCGGAGCCATTTTTTATAGAGGAGCCTGAGATGAAAGAACTAGCTTCTTCTAGCTCCTAATCACACATCTAATATAGATTATTACAAAATTATCATTAGAACCATTTCTGCCAAATGTTTTCTAAAAACGCTACTACTCATGAGGAGCTAAAGCGGGATTCCTTTTAGGAAGAGCAGAGCCTTATAAAAATTCAAACGGGGCCTCATGCAAAAAAAAGTTCAAGCCATATCTAGAAATGCCCACTATTTTTCTAGGCAGTTGGAAAATCCGCTCTAGAAATAATGAATTTCTAAAGGCGGTTAGCAATATGGTCCATTTCAAAAAATTGTGTAACATAATAAAATCATAACTTTTCTAAATCAAGTTAGATGAAGCAGAGAAACTTTATCTAAAATTAGTAGAGCTCGAAGAGATCTACAACTTTTTAAATAAGAACTTTTTCATTTAAATTAATTTAGGTTCAAAAATATGTTTTCAGCCGATATTTTTTCAAATTCAAATTTTGAATATTTCAAATGAACTTGGATGGAGAGATAACCTGAACCAAAGTGGTAGTAACGGATGCTAATTTTTTAGTTCAAAATATTTTCATTTGAAATCGTTTAGGGCCTCACATATTCTTTGCTAAAGTGAATTAAAAAAGATTGTATCATTCATTTAGTCACAAGTACCTCACCCCTTTGTGGTGGGTGGTAGGGATGTTTCACGTGAGACCGTAAGTCTTGACTAGATCTAGTTGTCCCTCGGCTGGATTTGGTGTGACGGGCCCGACGTGGAATGCTGTGACATCACGGCTGCGGCATTGATCTAGTGCGACGAAGGCGGCCGATCACCTCTGTCGTCGGTTGGGCCCTTGTGGAGTTTCCCATGGGGTAGCATCGCTATGGTGGTGGGTTCATCTTGCAGCGAAGGCTCTTTTCTACGGGTGGGTTGGTTGTGGGTGTCGTAGAGATGCTGGCAAAAGTGTTGCCAGTCTCAACGATGATGACACCTTTGGCTATACTTCCTATTTTTCTAGAGGGTTTATACAGTACTTCCTCCATTGCAAATTTTTAGTTATTCCATTTTTCTTAGATAGTCAAAGTGGCGAGGACATCACTCCTTCGGATGTACCCGCTGATCCTCCAACCGCTATGCAAGGTCCAATGACCTGAGCTCGAATGCAACAATTAAAGCGATCCTGTGAATAGTTTTAAGAATAGATTGCTAGCTAATGATGTTATCTTGCTTAGGAATACTGGAGATGGTCATAAAGTACCAGTACTACAAAAAATGATTTTGAGAAGCAAGACAAAGTATTAACGAAGACGGGCACATCTAGCAGCCGCCTCCGTAAATGGTTTGGAGAGCTCCAAGATTATCTAGGCGAGTTGCCGTTTGCGGTCCTCAGATCCACTTCTATTTGCTTTACGTCATGATGCAAAACCAAAACAATGGCCGGCCTTCTCCGGGAGCAATGAAAAGCTATAGCGTATTTCAGCAGCAGCTGTTTCATTTAGCGGTTTCATTAAAAACACCAAAGCTCTCATTTAGCTATGCACATAAACAAATACTCAAAATACATATCTAGGACTCCAAGATAACTTGTTTCTAAGTCAGTTCTACTGCAAGTTTATAGTTTTCAGAGATGGGCATCCTAAGGTGACCGGTTAATCAACTATTAATAGAGGAGGGACATCCTAAGGCATCTACCTCTGTTAATTCGTCATGCCTGACTATGAAAATGACTATTAACAGAGGTGGGCGCTCTGCGTTGCTCTTTAGAAATTAATTAACAGAGTTGGACATCTTAAGAGGCCCATCACTAGAAATAATCGCTTCATAAATTAATTGGTAACTTTTCTATATGAAGTTGGATGAAAATAAACTTTGTATCAAAATTATTATAGCCCTCGACAATGCGATCTACAAATTTGTAGTGGAGTTTTTGATTTGAAATTGTTTAGAGTCTCAAGATGTTTTAATTTCTTGGATTTTGAAATTTAAAATTTCAATTTTTCAAAGAATTTTGGTTGTTAACATGGTCTACATCAAATCTATAGTTATCAATACAATCTACAACTTTGTAGGTGCAAGGTTTTTGATTTGAAGTTGTTTAAGGTCCAAAATATGTGTTTCATGTTCATAGATTTTTAAATTCAAAATTTAGAATTTCCAAACGATCTTGCACCCTGTTCGCTTGATCGTATCAGGCATGCTTATCAGCCATGATATAGTGTTTTTCTCTCACAACAAAACAGCATCAGCCGGCTTATAATTCACAGAAACGATCAAGCGAACAGGGTGTTGAATGTTCACATGATTAATACCAAAGTTGTAGTGACCGACCTGATCTACAAGTTTGTTGTTGATAAGTTTTTTATCTGAAAGTTTTTTAGAGTTCCATTTTTTTTTAAATTCACATATTTTGATATTCAAATTTTCGAAATTTTTAAATAATCTTAGATGAAGACATGTCCTATACCAATGTTGTAGTGCTTGATAAGATTAAAAACTTTGTAGCTGAATGTTGGTTTATTTAAGTTCATTTAGTACTGCGGCTCACCTTGCTCCATCGCCGGGATTATTTGTCGCCTTTATAGGATATTATCTTTACAGAGGCTTATCAACCACCTCCACAAATCCTGGTGATAGTAGTGGTCGCAGTAGAATTTTCAACAGACATGTCACATTGAACTAAACCACCAGCTTGAAACTACGTACATAGGGAGGAAAACAACTTGTTTCGATAGTTACAGGATGCTATATAAAACGTACAGTTTTCTAGTTTGAGGTGGTAAATCAAACAATAGTATTTGTTGCGAAAGGACCTGTAGCCTAGTGGTTACAAGCAAGGTTTTCATTATTGGAAATAAAAATTTATCGGAGGTCATGGATAAATAGGATAAGCAGGATATATCGGAAACATTGGACCAAATTCAAAAAAATTCAAATTGTTTTGAATTTTTTTTTAGAATTTGACTTGAAACTATTCTAAGGTATTAAACATCACTTGTTCACAGATAAAAACAAGAATAAAACATTATAAGTGTGGGACCATCGCGCGGCTGAATTTGGGTTGTCTGTGTGGGAGCAGGAAAGAAGGAAAAACTTTTGCCAATATCAAATTTTATCGGACCCGGTGGATAGAATGAAAATTTCGGAAATTTCCGTGAATTTTGGCCAATAAAAAAACCTTAGTTACAATAGCCTTAGTAGCACCTGAAGCCCTGAGTCAGACTCCCCGCGTCGGAGCGAATTTTTTAGGATTTAACGATGTTGTGCTTTCAGTGGCAGACGACGTTCTATTTTACAACGAGATATTAGTATGGTGACTTCGTCAATTTTAAGGATTCGCTGGCCTAGTCTTCGAAGATGCTCATAGAGGTAGATTTTATATGCGTGCGTTCATTGAGGTGAGTGGGTGTGCGTTGTGAGTGTCAGCATGTGTAATCACAAAAAGAAAAAACAATAGTATTAGTTAAGAGGGTCTGGAGGACTTTTTCTTCTGAGCACCCTGGCGGATGTCATGGCTCATGCCTGCCAGCTTCTTTTTTTTTTTTTGTGAGATTGTCAGCTTCTGTTTCAGGCTGTCACTACCATCGGGGCCGGATTGGGAAATGGAAGCGGCGCAGTACAAGCAGAAACAAGAGAAGAGAACATATGAAGATTAATCTACTAGCCCATGTTATCCTGCTGCCTTAAGGAAGTTAAATGCTAATTTCTGTTCTATATATGTAAATGGATCCATCAATCCATACAAACTGCCCTACATCGTATATATAGGCATATCATACTTACTATATATGTCGTCCTTGTCACTTTCCCATAAACCTCGCTATATAACAATCTGATCTCCTCCGATGCTCCTTTCCATTAATTTTGCTCATCGCCTGTTAAGTTCTTCCCATTCTCGTTATTCAGAACAAATGCTCTGAATCCTGCGGCTTCAACCTCTTCATCTTCATTTGCTCAGCCTCAGCTTGCGTCTGTCATGTACGGTTCGGATTCGACTGCCATGTGATCGACGACGACACGGCGGCGCCAAACGGTTCCAAGGCGGTTACCCTGCTGCTGCGCCTGATCACGCTGGCCCTGGCGCTCACCTCGGCGGTCCTCATGGCCACCGCGAGCGAGTGCACCATCTACGGGCTCGACGGCGCCACGGCCACCACCATCACCTTCAAGAACTACCAGCCCTTCGTGTAAGGACTACCGTACAACGTCGTTGCGTTTGACTTATGTTAGATTGATCTCTAATCCCAAACTGGGCCCAACGGCCCAGTTGGGCCTTTGATCCACGCCTTGATCGGGGGCACCCAGCCCACTATGGGCAATAAATAGAGGTGGGGGCCGCGGCTCTGAGTACGAGGTTCGCCTGAGCCGAGCTCCCCACCGAAATCCCTAATCCGATCTAGAGAGTGCGCAGCCAGTGATGGGAAGTCACCAGCCGCGCCACCACCGGACTACGTCACCGGTAACTTTTCTTTGCCGCACATCTTGAAGTTGGATGCCCATCAAACTTTGTCTTCACCGACCATCGCTGCCCTCACACAAACACCGACACAACGCCCATGGCAGATGCCTCTGGATCGAAGGCCTACGATGGTCGGTAACCTAGCACTACTACTCCCTCTATTCTCTGTCTAGTTTATGTACTAGGACATGTTATCCATTTACAAGAGAAATCGCTAGATTTATGCCTAGAGATCCTCTGCTTTAGGTCTAACAATGGTATCAAAGCCTAACTAGGTGTAGATCTAGCCTATCGGAACCCTCTGTCTAGATGTACATCATGTCAGTGGTAAGAAAGAGACCAGATCTGTCCGGATCTGGGAAGAGAAGAAGGTCCAAAACCTTAACCCTAATCATAGGTGAAGAAGAGAAAAAAAGGAATCTCAAATGACTTGCATGCTCACTTGAACCCTAACCCGCATAAATTCAACTCGGGGGGAAGAAGTTTTTCTCTGAAAAAACCCTAACCCTAACCAAACCCTAATCTTGATCCTATCCCCATCCCCAACCCTAAATCGGATAGATCCGAGAAGAGAAGAAAGGAAAATCAAATAAAAGAAAAGGGGAAGGGAAGAGGTTGTAGTGACCGACCTGCACGCCACCTCGTCGTTGTTGGTGATAAGTTTTTATCCAAGCGTTTTAGAGTTCCATTTTTTTAAATTCACATATTTTGATATCGCAAATCATTCTCCGAGACAGAGAAGGAGGAGATCAGGGTAGATCTAGGGTTTTGGAGGATCATGGGCATCGCCGCCCAATGTTGTAGTGCTTGATAAGATTAAAAACTTTGTAGAGGGACCGACGTTGGCCATCTTAAGCGCTTGTCTGCGGCTCACCTTCTTTCCTGCTTGGGCTAAGGAGAGAGGCGAAGAGAGAGAAAGGGTAGAAGAGAGTGTCGCTAGGGGTTTTATTGAGAGGCTGAGGTCGCCACCTTTTGATCTCCTGGTGATAGCCGTCGGATCGCAGACAGACGGCGCCGGTTGATTCAACCGACTTTGTCACATTGAAGCGGGCTAGTTCAGCCTAGGCCCGGAGTTGAAACTGGGCACATAGGGAGGAAAACAACGTGGGCGTTTTGGTGTTTTGGGCCGAAATGGCCACAAACACAGTGAAACAGTTCTTTCGTTTTATTTTTTTCCAGAAACTTTTTCATACATATTTGATAAATTTCAAATGAATTTTGATGTCCAACTCTGCACAATTTTGATCCAACGACAATTTTGTTTAGAGAAAAGCAAGGTTTATAAAGTTTCTAAAAAATAATAATGAGAATATTTACGCTTTCCGCTGCGTATTTAAAGTTATTATTTTCGTTATTAAATTCGAACCAATAGGAGAATTTAATTTTAAACGACAGATATGTTTTTAGTTTATTATAATATTGTTATTATTCTGTCTGGCAATATTATGATGTTATTTATGAGTTTTGTCATGCATTAATTCTATTTCTGCCCAACGGTGATGTAGAATTAGTGTAGAGGACAATTGTATGTTTTAATTTTGACCAATGTTGAAACTAAGGCATGCAATTGTTATTATTATGTTTATGTTCTTACTTTATATGAATTGTGTTTTTTTCGGTGGATACAATTTGATGGGTTGTATCAAAGAGATCCCCACTCGGAAAGGTGACAACTTTTGAGTGGAAGGAAAAAAGATTAACCTTGGCCTTCATCTTAGCCTGGGTAGTCACCTCACTATGTCCCCAGGCTGCACATGGCTGGTGGTGGAGACAAACGAGGTACGATGCCGCTTGGGCAACTAGAGAGAGGATTTTGTATCCCAAAAGATGTCCTATAACCTTGAGCAAATGAAGTGGGTCAACGCCAACAAGAAAATGTAAAATTTGTGATAAAGAACACGATTGAGCTGTAATTGTGGGCTCAATCCCAGAGTGTGACACCGTCACCGAGTACCTCGATAGAATAAAGAGTCAGTTCACTGGCTCTTTAAAGACATATGCTACCCAGCTGATAAAGCAGCTGGTGACAGAGAGGTACTCTGGAAATGGTGGCATAAGAGAGCACATACTAAGTATGAGCAATTTGGCATCCAAGCTAAAACCAATGGATCCGACTCTCAAGGAAGAGTTCCTTATCCATCTGATTTTTGCTTCATTCCCAAAGAAAATTGACACTTTTGTTGTCAACTACAACATACAGCCCGAGAAGTGGGACATAGAGAAGCTCATGGCTATGTGTGTGTAAGAGGAGGAGAGAATGAAAGCTGCCAATGGTGGCACTATCAATTATGTGAAAGATAACAAGAAAAAGAATAATAATGCTAACTCCTCCTCAAAGTCAAAGGAAAAGGGTCCCATGCTGCATCAGCCTCAGCAGAATAAGTTCACAGTAGAGAAAGACCAGTGTCTCTATTGCAAGAAGATAGTGTAACAGAACCGACCAATTATACGAGATTAAGTAAGGAAATCTTCCATGAAGGCATAATTTAGCAAACTTAACTATATAATGTCGTCCGTGAAACCACGAAGGATTTCAAACCAATCGACATACAAACCAAGATCTGAAGTTTTGCGATGCTCCGTCACATGTTACATAAAGTTCGCGATGACGGTGGATACATCGAGTTTAGAACATAAAGTTATTACAACCCAAATTCTCGAAATTCAGAAGCAAATAGTTTTAAAGCCACACACACACACTTTTGGTTCAGAATGCTCATTGCCTGAGGTAGTCATCTCCAACAAAAGCATCGGATGAGAAATACGGAGTGACCATTGCCCTTGGTCCTAGTTGTCACCATCATGGCATGCGGCAAGTTAATGCAATAGCTATAGTACATTTGACCATCTGCAACAACAATAGGAACAACGCATACGAGTACGAGAAGGTACTCGCAGCTAGACTTACCCGTCTTAAACCAAAATAAAACGACACCAAGGATTATGCAAAGCTTTCTTTAGTGGGCTGCCACCACCTTCACCTTCAAAAGCATAAGCTATCATGAAGAAACCATTTTAAATACTTTGCATCATCTTTATTATGACCTATCCATCTAGGTAAGCACCTATACTATAGCAATCACTTGATTAACCAATAACATCCAGTTACCAATTTAGATTTAGCATATCCCATACCATCCAGATAACTATTAGTGTTCCATCATAATTACTACGATGTTGTAGCTCGAGTCAAGTGCTCACTAATATAGAGGAGGCGATGGCGATTGAATCGATTTCTAACCGGTGGTGATTTATTCCTCACACAAACCATGCTTCCCCTACCAGGGTAGCTTAGATCACCAAGGACACTATTTAGGTAGCCGCGGGATAATCTGGAGCCACAGTACCCAGGGACCGCTCGACTACCAGGAATCAGGGCGCACCTACCCTTGGGCTCACTCTTCGCGTCCCTGTCATACCCCCATCAGCACCAATACGTGCACCCATGTAGATCCCAGCCTGAATAGTGCCACTAGCTTCACGGTCGGAATGGCTTATCCGCGGCGACTAAATGTGAGGCATGCGTTCAACATGACAAGAGGGCGAGAGCAACGATCGGTCCTTAATCGACCATGACGGAAAACTAATAGCACCCCCCTCTATTCTCCGGTTACCTCCAACTTTTTCCGTAGGTCTCCAATTATCCATCACACATGGTTAATTCTAGGATATCATTCTTTCCATAGCTAAATTCTTCCAATACCCACCTATAAGTGTAGGTGATGGAAATCACCGATCGCTATCGGTCTAAGCAAGGTAAAGCTAGTTTATTCAATCCCGACCTAACAGGTAAAAAGGTAATAAGGTAGGCAAGGATAGTAATAAATGCATCAACGGTTTCAATCAACTTCTACAACTTAATGCAACAATATATAAACTCATATATAGGAATAATTGCTTTTATAAAGTAGGAGACTTAGAATGCTCGGGGCTTGCCTCGTTCAAACGAACTAGGTTGATGATCCAACTTTTCGGGCAAGTCCTCTCCTTGCTCCTCTTCCTCTAGCAAACCTCCAACCCGGACTTCTTGTGGATCTTGATCCTAACTGCTCTTCCCGAACTACTACTAAGCTCCTCCTGTGATCCTATATGATGCAGATGTATAAGTGCTAATGCATAGGTGCATCGGAGAGATGACATGTAATGATCATGATGCATGAAATGTAGACGAACATGTTTAACTTTATTGGACATAGTAGAAGTAAAGCTCTTCTACAAGGTAGCCAACATCATCCAAGAACATGTACTACTATACTACTACTACAACCACTGTACTAACATGCCAAGTTATCACAGCAAGTTAAGATGCTTCAAAGATACACCAAAGCAAACATTATTAACTAAACATGCATTAAAGAAGATTATTTGATTTCATTTTAAACCAGGGCTACAACAGCAACATATATTTCTGGTGCTCATAAAAATCTGAGAAAATTATAGTAGCATAGTACTACTCTAAGTAGACTATCACAAAATTTTCATAGCATTTGGGTAAGTAAAATAGCCTACACAAAAATGACAAGCTATGGCATAATTATGAGCATGAAAATACTTTGTACTATGAAAAGTGTCAAACAACAGATTTGATATTTTTTTGATATTCTACACAGTAAACAATCACTGCATAAAAATTATCATACACATGTTTTATACAATTTTTGCTCTCTATCAAAATAACAAAAATCATCAATTAAAGGCACTTGAACTACACATCAATATTTCTCTACA